ACTAAAAACATTCTTCTCACACTTGCCCTATTTGCATGAATAAATTATATTTTTATTTAATATTTTTATATTTTCATCAATAAAATCGATATCGTTACGATAGATGAAATTAGTTATTTTACTTTTATAATTATAGATAAATTTTATAAATTTAGAGATCCATATGCTAAAGAAATCTAACTCTTGTAACTAAAAACATTCTTCTCACACTTGCCCTATTTGCATGAATATTGAGGAATCAGTCTAAACCTTTGACAACTACATATATGTATACATATATTATAAATATTCTTATAACGTAAATTGGCTATTATTTGTTAATTGAGATTGGTATCATTTAAAAATTAATTACTTAAAAATTATATTGGGGGGTATGTAAAATAATTCGTTTATTGAAGTTAATTACTTGAGGCTTATGAGAGGATTTGGCTCGGCCGACGCTGTGTATTCTAACTGGGGTTCAGCGAGCGGCTCGAAAAGTGTGATCGAACCGGACTGGTTCGGAAAAATCGACTGAGCCGAACCAGCAATCACATAAGTGCCCGGCCCGGTCGATTACTTGATTTCGGCGCGAGCTATCGAAGGGTTTCCTCATTCCTTTCCACGCCGAGCGCGACGACACGGGATCGTCGAGCGACGGCCGGAGGTGAAAGAGGCCTGGAGATCTGCGCACTGACGGCTACGATCGGTATGCGAATGATTTCCCCCTTTTCTTTATCTTCCTTGTGAGGTTTTATGTTGTTCAGTGGCTTCTGGCGAGGCCTTGCTAGCTAGAATCAGTTACTTTTCGAGGAAGAGCTGTAATCACCGATGATTTTTTCTCCGTTGACATAAATCAAATTATTATTTTATTTAAATTATTAACTTCCTTGTTTGTATAATATGGTTAAAGAAATGATTAAAATTGATTTCCTTAATCACGTGGAAGAATTTTTTTTTTCAATTAATTAAATTATTAATTGATTTATTTCCTAACGAGTGACGTAATTTTTAGAAAGTAAATAGTTCAAATTTTATTTTTGTGTGAACCATAAGAAATAAACATTATAATTCTATCTTTGTGTATGAAAGCAAAATAAAAATAAAAAATAAATTATTTCTTGTCTTTGGTGGAGAGCTAATCTTCTCCAATATAAAGAGGCTCTCCCTCCCTTATTCCTCATGTTTGAGAGGATTCTCCAAGGAGAGGATCTTTGAGGAAAGGTAGGATCCTCTAGTTTTTTCTAACAAATAAATAACCGATATTAGTTATCTATCTTACGAGAAAATAATATTATAGATGATATCCATTTATTTCTAACAAATAAATCTCATGCAAGAGGAACCGAAATGTCCAAAATGATGGTAACTTGAGATGGCAGAAAAGATAAAATGACGTGAAGAACAGTCAAGGAAAAAAAAAGTGTTTACAATCCTTTTGCTATTTATAATCTGAACTTTGAATATTTCTAAGTTATCTTTTCGTATATGTATATATGTATATATGTATATATGTATATATGTATATATGTATATATGTATATATGTATATATATATATGTGTATATGTATGTATATATATGTGTATATGTATGTATATATATATACACATATATATGTATATATATATATATGTATATATATTATATATATACTCTTAATTTATAACTTAATTTTAATAAATTCTTTTCAATCTTTATCTATAATCATTTTTCTTCCTCTGTTTTTCATCTTCTTCTTGTCCTCTTAATCACCCTTGATGTGTTCATATCTGTATCATGAGGAGTGGCAGATCACAAACTGCCTTGTTATTCAATTGTACATAATATAGATCCTTCCAAATATTAAGATTCCTCACATATGTGGTTCTCATTAATATTTATCTATAATACACAGATTAAACTTCTCTCACTCTGGTTAACATTATTTTTTAATCAAAAATATGCATAAAAATATAAAGTACCTAAACACTTCAAATATTTTTAATGTCAGAATGACTTTTGACATTGGTGTTACTGTAACTTAGTTATTGAATTAATTGTGGTGAGTAATGAAGAACAATAAGAATAGTATGTATGCAGGTTTTTAGGTTTTGGGAAGAAATATATGATAAACTTAATTTTATAGGGATCAATAAGTAAAACACTAACTTTAGAGGAATATATATGTATATATGTAAAATCTTCTTATGTATATTAAGTTCCAACAAGTGAACTGATTTATGCATCATCTCTACTTTTGTGATTGAGAAATGTTTAGGTGGGAAGCATCTGAAAGCATTACTTCCAGCCTCTCAGACAAACAGTATTTCTGTAGCATTTTCAAATTGATGGCTCATTTTGTCTGCCCTACTGACTGGATGTTAATAATAATACTTTCATTATCTTCAATTTAAGTTGGTTCAAATAATAATCTCATGACCCACCCTAACTACATCTTCCAGTTCTTTCAAATGTTTCCTGGAGAGTTCTTGTCATAAATTAAATGCAAGTCTGGGGGAATTGATAATGCTATCTCATTAAACACAATTTTATTTCTTTGAGGTCGATGGTGGACATTAACTAAAATATTGACAATACAACTCTAGGAGGAAGAGATTAGCTTTGAGGCAAATGTCAAACTCCTAGTTTTTGTGAATTAGGAGAATTGCAGCCAATTGTGAAGTCTTCAGTCATGAACAAGTTCTGGTCTTCACTAGGAGTGATGCTCCAGAATAATTTTAATTACTTAGCTCAGATTTATTGATTATTTTCTATTTGAATTTAGTATAGTTGTTGTCAACAAACAATAAATATTTGACTATATTCCATATGCAACAGTAAATTGATCTGGTCCTGAATATACTGCATCTGGTTTGTGTTTGAATGACAACTTTAGAAATGCATCATCTATTAAGCTCCCAACTAAAGCTTTGTAAATGCTGATACAAGTGGCCTTCTCTCTCTCTCTGGAAAACTTTGCTGTGATAAGAGTTCAGAATATTCTGAACTCTAATCTACGTTTGGGGATCAGTGTTGATACAATGATAAGATTATTCCTTTTACAACATGAGAGATCAAGATTTGAGTAATGAAAATAACCTCTTGCACAAAATACATCCTTTTAGGTGTCATGCGTTTATTATATCCTAATGAGTGCCCTATACAGACGGATGACATATATATCAAAACTCTAATAAAACTCTAAGTTCATAAATCAATTTAAGTTGGGTATAATTTGTTTAAAGTTTATCATGATTTGTTCATCAGATAAATCCTTCTGGGAGCCATCTCTTGCTTTTTTTCTTTCCCACAATATCTTATTTCATCCTTGCCATCGATGTTGCTCATCGCCATTGCCATTGATGCTGCTTGTTGCTTACATTATCCGATCTTGCTCATCACCCCTTAATGTTATCATCTAATGAGGAAGAAGAAGCGAAAGAAAAAAGAAGAGGAAGAAAAAAAGAAGAGGCGGAGGAGGAAAAAGAAGAGGAAGAAAAAGATGAAAAGAAAAAAAGGAGGAAGAAGTGAATATTTATGTTCATTTGTTAAGAAATACTTTAAAAATATTAAAAAAAAATAAGATTATAAATAGTAATCTACACTTAGAAACACATTTAGCATGTAAATGTATAGGACTTAATGGGGCTATGTTGAGGGCAATCAACACGCGCAATCGTTTAGGAAAAACGAGTTTAAAGACATAGGGAAAGGAGTCACTCAAATGAGTAGGCATCCGAGATTGACATTCAAAGGAATTGCTAACCCTTCGTGCAAGAGGCACCATAAGGATAAGCAAGCTGGGAAGAACGCGTAGCACACAAAGGTTGGGATGACTAAGTTCAAGTTACGACCTGACATTGACAATTAAACTTGACGGTGCACAAAGTAAGCGAGGTGTTTGGCAAAGGATGAGATCGTGTAAGGTAAGATGGATTGCTCAACGACTGAAAAAATTGTGCAAAGCTCGCAGAGATGAGGGGAATTGCTAACTTGAAAATTTTGATACTCATGCAACGGCTTATATGCGGATGATAGATTGCCCGTGGCTATCTCAAGGTGGCCAAAACTCGACGCCATGAAGCATTGAATCTTTCTCTTCGTAGGAGGTTAAAGTGTGTAGTAAGTTTAACATGTTGCTAGGCTTGAGGAACGCAACGGGGCCTATATTAGCAAATAGTCACAATCTAGCAAGTATGTTCATAGAAGCAAAACAGTGTATAATTTGTTCAATAAAACGAAGTGGTCTAAAGGAATGATGGTCTCCGAAAATTCTAGAGGGAATGATGTCAAGAGAAAAGTTACTCTGAAACAATCATAAAGTAATACAAAGGATAATATATATAAGCATATTTTTTTAATTCAATATTATTTTAATCGAAAATATTTACGCTCTTAAAGATCTTTTAAAAACGTATTTTTAACAAGTATGTTATATTATTATACTTTTTTAATTAAATAAACTTATATTGAATTGATTAAAAATAATTAACCTGAATTTTCTGGATATATGGTAATAAGAGTAACACGCGAATAATCTTAATATCCAGAGGTTATATGTGCCAAAAAAAAAAATCTGTTCTGACAAATATGATATTTGTAGACTTCACAAGATATATATGTTAAACTTGTTATCGTCCACAAACAAGTAAAAACCCTAACCCCTGTGCTGTCAACAAAACCTTATGTGCTGGCTTCCGTTGCATTGTTTTGTGTTGAATCATTGTCTATTTCTCTCTAGGGTTTTTGGAGTTGATTAAGGGGTGAAGGAGATGGCGAGCTTCGGTGGTCTTAACACAGCTGCGGCGGGAAATGTGAACCCTAACAAGTCACTGGAGGTACAAGTCTCTGTATCACTCTTTTCGTAGTCTCATCGGAAACCATTCTTCCATTACTTTTCCGTTGTTATAATATAGTGATACCAATAGGAACGTTAGTAAGAGTTGTTTGTTGATTTTTGCCTCCGATGTAGCTCAGTGATGGTTTTTATTGTCGCTACAGGTGCTTCCTTCCCCGAGTGATTCGGTTTCTAGCCTTAGCTTCAGTCCCAAGGGAAATTACCTGGTCGCTACTTCTTGGGATAATCAGGTCATTCCAATCGATTTCAAACTTTCTATTGAGAAGGATCCTCCATCTTTCTTGGACTTTACGTTCATAGTATCTTTTTCTCTTCCATTTTGTTTGATGTACAGGTTAGGTGTTGGGAGATTATGGCTGGCAGCAGTCAACCTAAGGCATCAATATCACATGATCATCCAGTATGTTGATGGTTTTTTAGCTTTCCTCTGGCAGTAAACAGTTGTTGCATCATGAAGTCACTATTTTCTTTGTTTGCTAACAAATGGATTTTCTACATCAGGTCTTGTGCTCGACTTGGAAGGATGATGGGACAACTGTGTTTTCAGGAGGCTGCGATAAGACAGTCAAAATGTGGCCTCTGATGTCTGGTGGGCAACCTACTACAGTTGCTGCACATGATGCACCTGTTAAAGAAATTGCCTGGATACAACAGATGAATCTCTTAGTTACAGGGAGTTGGGACAAGACACTCAGGCATGCAACCCTGATTACAATAAAGTGGTGCCGTTTCATGTCTAGTAATTTTGCTAGTTAATGTTCAACATGGAATGCACAATTATAAGTTCTTATGAAGATGTCCATTTTATTAAATTACCGAAGTTGTTCCTGATATGTATACATATTTAATTGCTTTAATTAGCTGTTATGGGAATTGAAAGATATGATTCAGAACTTTAACTGCTTCAGAAGTGAGTAGCAATTTGAAAGATATGATTCAAAAACTAGTTATGCATCTTGACTACTGCAAGGGGAACTCTGAACTTGAGTTTCAGTGACAGAAGTTTTATATGTCAAGGGAATGTCAACATGGAATGCACAATTGCAAGTTCCCAAGGAGATGACATACATTAGTAGGAGATCCATTTTATTTAATTGGTGAGGTTGTCTCTGATATGTATATTTAATTGTTTCAGAACTTTATGTTGTTTATGTGAGTAGGAATTTTCAAAGATATGATTTGAAAGCTAGTTCCTCATATTGATACCTGCAAAAAGAACACTAGATTTGACTTTCAGAAATAAAGGTTTTAGCTGTCAAGTGAATGTTAACATGGAATGCACAATTACAAGTTCAAAAATTAGTAGGGGGTCCATTTTTCTTTAATTTCTAAGGTTGTTCCTGATATTTAATTATGTATATGGGTTTAATTGTTTCAGAACTTAATGTTGTTAATTTGAGTGGCAATTTTTAAAGATATGATATAAAAGCTAGTTCCTCATCTTTATACCTGCAAAAGTAACTCCAGACTTTTGTTAAGATTTTATTATTTAACTGAAACTATTATCTTCAATCTTTACTGGTATTTTTCATGACCAGTATGGTATTTTGACATGTTCTTGCAGAAAAATAATAATCATCAAATACTTTTAGAGGATTACAGAAGTAGGATTAAGCATTTACTTGTAAATCTGTAGGTGCTTTTCTGATTATGATGAAATTATTCTTTCTAATGCCACTTCCATTAGTTGTTTTGTATGCAGCTAATGTGGCCTAATATGCAGCTATGCATGTTTTCATATGACCACCTAAAATATGTTTTATGCAACCTCATTACTTTGTATGTATAAAATCTATTGCATATATGTTGTCTACATAAGCGTGAGAATATGATCATGTGATATATATTTTCTTCAATATTGCTCCTACTATTACTATTATATTGGAAAGTTGGAACTATAATCATATAATGTATGACCCATGATTGACATTTTATCACTTGAACCTTCTCTGTATTTGTTTCTTAAAACTTACCACCGGAATAATACTCAAAATGTAATTAATGTCATCCTGTCCCTAATTCAATTTGATGCTCTTCTACATTAGTTCATGCTATGTTTGTTGAATTTTCTGCAAGATTTACTTTATAATCTCATTCTTTTCCTACAAAAAATGTAATCAGATACTGGGATACTAGACAAGCCCAACCAGTTCATACCCAGCAGCTTCCTGAGCGTTGCTATGCTCTGACAGTGCAGTATCCTCTGATGGTTGTTGGAACTGCTGATCGACAGCTACAAATTTTTAACTTGCAAAACCCTCAGGTGATTCTTCTTTAGTCTGTGTTTCAGGATGAATGTGTTTGTTCGTTATAATTAACATATGCATATGACATGATAGATCTGTATCTTTTACCATGACCCTCAAGTAAATGCCAAATTGCTGAGTTAAAAGCTCATATTTATTGGCCAAACCTAAGCTACAGGACTATCTAATACTATTCATAAAACCTATATCTTTCTTCCTATTTAATAACTTCATATTGAATTGCAAATTTGCAAATTACCTATTTCCATAAACATGTTTAGGCTATTCAGTGGCATTTGGGTCAGCATTTGGTATTCTACTCTATATTCGGAGTATGTGACCACATGTGCAGGTCACATGAATATGAAATTTAGGTGCACTGGTGGACTCTGTTTTGTCTTGATTGTTACTGCTTGTGTTGTGTTGTACATTGCTTGATTACTATGATATGTGGTCTGTGACTTTGTGATAACTATTACATTAGTAACTTACAATTTTTCATGTTTATTAGAATTTATAACTTAAAATTGTTCTTAAATGAGTACAAGTTTGATCCAATAAATTCTTGGTTTCTGTAGATTACATTTTTGCCTATTAATAATTTAAACTCGTTAATTGTTCTTTATAACTTAGCTATATACTGATTTGAACATTCTAATATGAACCACATATATTTAATATGTGTCTTATACTATTCCAAAAACAAAGGTCACAAACTGCACATAAATTATGTGGCAACCTTGTTTTTCCACATCGTTCAGATTTGAATATTCTAATATGAACCACATATATGTCTAATATGTGGTCTTATTACTATTCCAAAATCAGAAGTTGCAAATTGTCTATGAATTATGTGGTAATCTTGACTTCCCACATAGCTCAGCTGCTTTGTAGAACATAGTCTATGTAAGCCATACCCTATGTGTGATGCCTCAAGATGCATGGGTATCACTATAGAAGCTGTAATATCCTCAATTAAGACCCATGGTTGAAACATCAGCATTGTTATTCTTTTCCCCCGAAGACTAAGATGATACACACTTTAAGAGAACCATATATAGGGAACTGAAGGTGCCTGTTAACATGCATTGCTTAACTGGCATGTTAGTTTTAGGCTGGTTCAAAGTATGCTAGTGGACATTTTCAAATCAAATCACGTATTGAGCTTCTTTACAATGAATTTTTTTATTGTTTATTACTTATTAGCAATCCCAGTTCCAAATTTCTTTCATATATACTCTTCATCTGTGCTGTTGAAACTTGCACAGGAAGGTTCATGTTGATATTTGCTTTTGTACTATTAACAGACAGTATTCAAGACCATAACATCACCTTTGAAGTATCAAACAAGATGCCTTGCTGCATTTCCTGATCAACAAGGGTTTCTGGTAATGTTTCACTAGAAGTGTTAGCATATGGGTCCATTTTCTCCTTGCCATTTATGCTTATTTTACTTTTTTAGTTTGTAATGCTTATTTTTGTTCCCCTTTCCACACAAAAAGAAAAAGGTTCAGTCACCTTTGTTATTTTGCCAATGCCATCTGTAGCAAAGACCCCATTGCTTGTCCAAGCTCACAATTGCATGAAAAGGAATGCTTTTTTGCTTGTTGCTTTGCGCTGATCAAGTGACATAAGGGCCTCACTGTGAACTTTAGCTCAGGAGTATGTGAATTGCAACCATGTTTAGTGTAAAGATCTAGAGGAACTTGTATTAACCCTGTTTCTTAATAATGAAAAAAAAGCAGGTCTTAAAAATTTATCCTCTGCAATCTGATTTCAATTATTCATGTTAATTTTGTATTCTCATGAAAACAATGTTGTCTGGCCTGTTAGTGGGATGAGGAAGTCCATAACCTTCATTTATTTTGGATATAATATTAAAGTTATTGCAGTGTGGTGTTACAGTTTTTGCATTGTTAAAAGAATACTGAGAATGAACAATAGGTTTCCTGAGGCACTTCTCTTATTAATTTGGTCTGGTATATTCTTTCATCTAACATGACATTTTCTCATGTATTAGACTCTTGAAATATATGGCCTGACTTGTAGAGCCTATTGGAGCTGGAATCAGGGGTCCTGGAATTCATAGACTTCTGATTGGACCCCAAGTGAATAGAGTATGAACACAAATCATCTCATGTCTGTTTTGTTGTTGGTTTCCACGAAATAACATGTGGCATGATCCATTGGCCTCATTTCTTGCTCCAAGTAGCAGCAAAAAGGCCATGCTAATATGGAAATGAAACACTGAGAATCATCTTTGAGGAACTAAAAATGGAAATATATATTTCTGAAATTTGTCTGTCATGTGATACCATTTTTCTTATGCTGTTTTTGCTAGCATTAGGGAACTGTTTTAACATGCCTACAACTGTGCTCAGAGAGTGTAGTCCTAAAAGAATTGCCCCTTTTTCCAGTTATTTGTCTTTATTCTATATTTTTTAGGACAATAAGCACCTTGTATACTCTTTCATATTTTCTGATAGACTTCCTGTCTTATTGTAGGTTTTCTAAGAGAAACATCTATTTCATGCTTTATGGTTTATCCTAACTTCTTTTGGAATAAAATTCTGATTGGAATTGTTTTTTATCTTAATAAGTCAAGTGTTTGATTGGTAGTCCATGGAGCAATTCCCCCAACCCATGTCAGTCTTTTTATTTTTAACTTCTATACCAGTTCTTCCACTCGCCGCTGCATGCAATCACCTAAATCCTATGAGGGCACTTCTATAATAGTTGTTGTCAACAGAGGAAGTTTGAAAGAAGAACGGGAAAGCTTCAAACTTGTGGAGGGTTGACCTAAATTTCTCAGGTATCGATACCACCAAGCCTTGCTTTGACTCCCAAGCTTCAAAGCCTAGTGGACTAGGAGAGGGGGGGGTGTTGGGGTTTGCAGGGTTGGTTGGGTTTAGGTATTAGGATTTTTTTATTAGGGCAAAAACATAAAACGAAAAAACTAGCTTACTATGTGGGCCATCCAAATTGGGTGGTTCATGCTCGGACCAATATGTATTGCCTGTTAAACATTGTTTTTGGCATATTAGCTTTCATTTGGCTTTTGGCTCCTATATGGAAGATTGATGTATTATTTCTAAAGAAATAACTAGATCCATAACATCTATCTTTAACTTTGTCTGAATGCATCAAGAACAACTTGGTTTGCAATGTTTTTACTGTTTTATGAATGTGATTGATTTAATTTTGGTAGATTTTCACTGAATCCTTTATTTTTTGGTGTATGCTCTTGAAGGTGGGATCCATAGAAGGAAGGGTGGGCGTACACCATCTTGATGATGCACAGCAAAGTAAAAACTTCACATTCAAATGCCACAGAGAAGGGAATGAAATTTATTCTGTGAATTCAATGAACTTCCATCCTGTAAGATTCTACATTTGCTTTCCCTGTTTCTTGTTACACTACTACATCTCTGCTATGCAAAGTGTAAGAGAGAATTGGTTAATAAGCAGTATCGGTCATCAAGGTTTCATGATTTTCTTTAATAAGTAGTATCAGTGACAAGGGTACTTGATTTTCTTTAATAAGTCCTTTTAGTTTGATTTTCTAACTAAAATCACTTTTCATTTGTTTTGTAACTAATGTTTAAAATTTAACAATGAATCTTGGCTTTTCCAATTTAACAATGATTCTTGGCTTTCTGATGGTACTCAGTTTTTGCTGCAACAATGATTTGCCCGTTAGTGTAGTCAATGTCTGATATGCTCATCTGAATCTGTTACATACATGGAAAAAGACATTATTATCTTTGCTAAGAGGCAATAAGTAATGGACAGCAAAATTATAGGTTGAATCCTGTTGATGGGAGGCATTACACTGTCTCTTTCTGATGATTGGCTCTTCTTTGACTCTATAGGTATATTATCCTGGTTTAGAGAGTTTATTCTAATATTCGAAATTATGTATGTCTCAGTACATTTCTTTGTCCTAATTTATGCAGAACGAAAGCAGAATTGTTTATATTGTGCACATTTCTCTCCGTGTTTATATTGTATCATTAGTTTAAGATCATGATACATACATTAAATAAATTGTAGATGATAAGAACGTTGTTTGTAGTGTCAATATGAAATCTAGCATCTTGTACATTTCACATTTGTATCTTATGTGATATATTTTCTGTAACAGGTTCATCATACATTTGTTACTGCAGGCTCTGATGGTGCTTTCAATTTTTGGGACAAAGATAGCAAACAAAGGCTGAAGGTCTGCACATTTCTAGGACACTTTTTTATTTGCACACTCTCTCTATTCCTTGGTTTCTGTATTGTGCATCCTGGACTAAATAATCTCACATCATTATTCATATTAGTTGCATAATTCTTCTGCATTCTTGAAGTTTTCTGGTATCATTGTAGTTCCATAAATCTTTTTCTTAGTATCTTCACCATAGTCTCCACCTGCTACTTGTCTATCCCTATCCTCTAAAGTTATATAGTATCGAGGATGGTATGCCATCTGCTGATAGAGTACTTGTGTAATGCTATAGATAAGTATGAACTTGCATGTAGCAATATTTTGATTTGCCAATAAAGCAATCATAGACGGTCTTAAAATGATTGACAAATCCTTATGGCCATGATAAACTTGGTGAATATGTGTGATCATCAAATTTTTAGTTTGGAGAAATCACATTATTGTTGATCGATGACTAGATGGTCCATTTGATCCATTTAAAATTTGGAGACTGAGTTGACCTTTATATTCATATAAATACAAATACATGCATTAATACATATATAATTTATCATAATTCAAAGATAAATGTAATTTATCATGGTGTTCTTTAAATGGTCTGAGGCAGTTCTTTATTAAGTAGCATTACACATGGTGAGGATGGTATATTATATAACCATGCCATGCCATAATGGGATTCATAGCTGGTTGTTCCTACCACTACTAGAATGATAAAAGATCTATTTTATGTTTCCTGCTTTTCTGAACTGAGTGTTTTCGTGCTAAATTTTCAATGTCCTTTGTTATTAATACTATCTAACTTCAAACCAGATGCTAACACTTATGGGTTTGAATCTACTTAGGCGTTTAGCAAAATGATAGATTTGACAATTGCGCTATTTTAATTAGTGGCATTGATGTTGTCACGAAGGTTTGACATCCCGGATACCAGAACCGTGCTGGTCCATGGTCAGACTGATATTGATCCAGTCCGTGCCAACATACTTGCATAGTATGCCGACATGTAAGATGGTACCAAGAAGGGATGTTTCTTTTACCCAAGTTGGCGGCACTTTTAGGCTTTTTAGAACCCTAAACCATCCTTTAAAAAAAAATCGGATTGCCCAAAAGGGGGCAGTCTGCGTCATGGTTTATGCTCAGACTGATAAATACTGGATGATATGAACCAGTCGGGGTGAAACCATAAACTATGATCAAAACTATATTAATAAGATACAAGTTTTAAGCTACTTGGTGTGGAGACCTTTTCTGTTGTTTCCTTTTATTTATACTTGTTAAAGCCATTGCTTAAAAAGAACAGAAATCGACCAATAAGAATAAAATAATATTTAAATATTAATCAGTGGTAAGTGTTGCAAGGGGACAGTGAAATGTACTAATAAGTGTTGCATTGGCTGTTTTTACATGTTATTTCGATAGAAGCATGGTGTGTTGGACATTTGTGAGCCAGTCTACTAGCAAAACAAGTGTTATTGCTTTTATTAGTTCATGATTTCCAAATCTGATAGATTTATTGGAAATAGAGGTATTTCTTAATCTAACAGTGGAAAACATTATTTGAATTCACTTGGTTGACTGATCGAGAAGAACAAATTTGTAAATTATGTGAGTTGTGAAGCATTTTCTAGTCTGCCTGTAGTTCATCCGTATGAGTTATAAGGTTTAATTTAACTGTATTTGTAGCTAGTTACAGAAGTTTGTGAAATCATTTTTCTATGTACTTAATTACTTGATGCACATCTTTTCACAAATCTGCATGTTTTTTATTTATTTCATGCCTTTGGTTCTTTTAAGATATTGATATAAGACAATTTTCTCATTCATTTTTCGTAATGGTTACCAATATTATCCTCATTCCTCCATCGAGTCTTCCAATCTTGATTGGTTGTCCAAATAGAATAAATTTCGTTATATTGTTCCACGAAGTATACAGTGTGTTTAGGTAATAATAATGAATCATACCTTTTCTTGAACAGGCAATGGCTAGGTGCCCACATCCTATCCCTTGCAGTACTTTCAACCATGATGGTTCCATTTTTGCCTATGCTGTAAGTGGTATATCATGTTTTTCTACCATTGTTTTTGAGACAAGGAAGTATATCTTTTGAGTAGTTATTGTAATGATTGCATTTGGTTGTTCTTCATGCAATATTTTTCGTATTATGTCTTTATGAAAGTGCATCAAGATTGTGATCTAATATTTTGCTAGTATATAATTATTACATGGTCTAAAATGCTTAAAAGTAGGTCCAGCAAGTGCATCTTACATTACGTGGACTAATCTGGTCATCACAATCTGTCATTCAAATGGCTTGAAGCTCAACATATTACCCAGGAATATTCTTTAGTCGGCATGCCCAATTGTTGGCTCTATGCCATGATATGCTTCTTGCATTGTTCCTTAATAGTGATTTCCTAATTGGGTTCACCAATCACATGTATAATTCTACTCCAATTTGATGTAAATTGTCAAACAAAACTCCATTGGCCCATTGACCCAAGAACTCAATAGAACAAGGTTTTAACCATGTGGTTCAAATTACTTGAGCCTGGGTTTGTGAAAGTAAGTCCATCCTATCTATCAAACCACTAAGGTTGATCTTGAGGACTACTTAGGCTATAGCACTCTGTCGATCCCTTCATTTTTTTCTCCTCACTCCTAGAGAAGAGACAGATCACTTTGTTGATTTAAACTGCTATATTGAGGGAGTTTGGTGAAGCTGCCCAGGCTTATAGAGGGGATTAAGTTAAACTATAAAAACAAAAGGACAACTTCCTGACAGTTGAGAAGTTGCTTAGATATTAATAAACTTCAGACTTGAAGTTTGTATGGATTTTGATTTTTAGTTGACATGTCTGAAGCAGTAGTGCTCGGAAGGGTACTCCATTTACCATAAAATTCTCTACCTTAATGATTCTTGAGGCTAATATGCCTACCAATTGTTGTTGGCTCTATTGATTCTTTCTTTAATCATTAATGGGTTAATATCCCAAATCATCCAAGATCATCATGTTCTTATACCCTAAAAAGGGCAGTCTGATGCACATGAAGCTCCCACAGATGCAGAGTATAGGAAGAGTTACTGTATTTATCCTCCTTGTAAACGCTGTTCCTATCAAATTTTATTTGGACATCTTTCAGGTGTGCAGCCTCATTCTCTTCATATACTTGTTATCCACCATACCAACTTTTGGGTATACTGAGCCTAAATTGAGAATATACCTGGTCTCGTAGCCATCTGATAGAAGTTCCTCTCCAGTAAGGGAGATGATAAAAGTTCCTCGCCAGTTAATGAGTCTGTACTTGATGTGCTCTGTACTCCTGAAATTTAGTGAAATTAACTATTTCAAACCTTAATTAATTTTAACAATCCTATGAAATGACTTATTTGTTGTGGCACTGCCTGTTTAACTACCTGTCTAAATTTGCAAACATTTGGATGTCCTGAGTGTTGATCATAGAGTATTCCGAGCTACAAGATGTGATAGTATTCAACCGATGCAGGTCTGTTATGACTGGAGCAAAGGTGCTGAAAATCATAATCCAGCTACAGCAAAGACATACATCTACCTTCATAGCCCTCAGGTCAGTATTAGATTCAGTTTTGAGACCTCTTTCAGCCCTTCAATCATTCAAACCTGTCTATGCTAAGACTATTGTTATAGCATCTCATCCACTGATTATTTACAATAGTCTTTATACATGTGGTGGTGGCTATTCCCTTTCATGCACGAGTTCTTGCATGGATGTCTTCGTATGCTCTGTACATAATATGTGCTCCGCAAACTTGCATCAATCGACCTACCAATTATATTGTTTTTCCAATATGACAAATTACCATAAAAGAAGAAAGTTATAGATAACATGCTGCGGAATGTAGGAGGAATTTTTTAATGCTGCTGACATATGCTCCCCCTTTGATTTTCAAAACAGGAATCCGAGGTAAAAGCAAAGCCACGTCTTGGAACTGGAAGTAGAAAGTGAACCTTTCAAGTCCTCGAGCTACATTGGTTTTTTTGTTGGCCGTGCTGTGTATCTGTTTGCTTTCTGCACGCCTAGTATCTGTCATGTTTTTTAAATACAGATGGTGGTGTATACTCCGGTGCTTTAGTAACTAGTGAACTTTTTGGTTCCTATTGATTTAGGAGCTTCACATTTGTATGTACATCTCGTCATAAAAGATGACAGGCCGCATGTGAAAAGAATCAGTCATTGGTTCTAGCAGTGGTCAATTTAGCTCATTCTCCTACCTGTAATCTATGTATCTAATTGCTTGATTGCTGATAGTTATGCTTAGGCACCAAGCAAAATACTGTGTCAACATTAAACTTGTTAATTATGATATGAGGGATGAGAACTTTTGGGGTTCAGGTCTTGCTTATCCGTGCAAACCGGGTTTGGGTTTGGGTTTGGGTTTGATGGAATAGTTGGGTTCCAGGTCCTTTTAGTTGCGTCAGGTTTAGGTGAAGTGAAATTTAAGGGTGCTCCATTTGCATTATAACATGAAAATGTTGGTAGATTGTGTATTTTGGATATATCTATGTCCATCTGTTCGGTTTAAAGAAGATTTCGTAGACCCTTTAAATTCATATTGGGTAGTATGGATGATTGGAATTTTTTTTTTAGTTGAGAAAAATGCTTCTTTTGGTAAGAAGAAACATGATGAATTAAAAGTGAGTTGTTTTCTCCATTAATCTGACAAAGATAAAATGGCAACCTATAATAGCCTCTTGACAAAAAGGACCTTTGAGAACAATCTTGACACTCGACAAAAATGGACAGCTAGGTTAGGAGGAAAGAAGAAGAAGCAGAGAAGCGGATCTTACATGCGTGAGACTTTTATCTTTTATTGGGAACATGAGTGAAAAAAAAAAAACCTTGATAGAGGCCAAATTCTATCATCTTTTACGACAAATATGATTAAAAAAATATCTGATCCATTAATCAAACTCGAGTAGATGCACTATCCAGTGGTCATTATTATAACAGCAGGCATTCTAAATCGTTGAATTAAAACCATTACCAAAATCTAAGACAAATATTTCAGATACAAGTCAATCTAGCTGTGTGATCAATCTTTTCCAAAAAAAAGGTTATACAGAGAGAGGCAAGCAAGCGAGCAAACATTGCCATTACAACACATAGAATTTACATTGACACACTAATCGCTGAATGATAAAGGCAAGAATAGCTGCACTTATTTTATGTTCTTGCACCTGAGCAATTATGCTATGTATGGTAGCACTGACAATGTCCATAGATCCCTAAGGATCCATCCACCGAGATCCTGTATGCTATGTGGCAAATGCAATAAAGCTTGCAGTGTGTATCTTTGATTTTTCTCGACAATTGAGAGAAGAATACGGAAAGAAGGCTCTATTGCATTTGTAGTCAAGCTTCATTTCAAATTGATCGCTGCAGCCATTTTCCTCAACTTCTGAGATATCACAGAGAATGAAGGCCTCAATGCTGGACCAGAAGACCAACAACTTTCCATCAGGGACTTCCACTCAGGATCACACCAAGTTGGAATTTTAGGTCGTATGGTGTTGTTTATAATGCCCCCTAGAAGAACAAAATCATACAAACATTCCATATTAGCCTTAGAGAACTAATGGAAAGTTTAATACGTAAATCATGAAAAATAAGCAATAGATACGTATGTTTCAACGAGTTCTTTTTACTCATTGGGAGTTCAAAGTCCCCTCTTTCATAGTAACATTTTTCTACTTCCACCTTTAGCCAAGTGTTCCATCTCCCTAAAATCTGTACCATAGATTTAGAATCACTTTCCAGCTTGTAAAACTTAGACTGCACCAGAGTATCCTTCAATGCAGAATATTAATAGGGTAATTATTTTCTTTGTCTAAATGCTTCATTTGGAAAATGTTAATACGGAAACAAAGAGCCAAGCCAACCACATGAAATATTGAAAATCATGTTTCAAGCAGAATTTTCATCATATGTAGGTTGATAAATGCAATATAATTTTGGAATCAGGATATGTAGGTTGATAATATTTAATTCTCATCAAAAAGACTTGCTAGAGCTGGCTCTCAACCAGCATAGGTAGAGATCTAAAATGCTCAAGTAACTGCACTAAAGTACCCTTACTAGTCAAGTCTACATAGATGTTTCAGCTATGATTTTCCCAAAGGGCAAATCCACTGCATGAGAGTCTTGTCTATTGAGGCTCACCCTCTTCTGATATAACTTTCCTAGCAAGAAATAAACATAGAAATAAGAGCACCAATTTTACCTGAACAAAACAAACACATTGTAGTCATGACAAAATGACAGATATAGTAGATTCTAATGCTTTAGTAAAAGATCCCAATCCATTAAATCGTTGTTATTAAATATTTTATTTAATATCATTAAAATTCTTCATTATGGTTCAAACGTTAGAAATTTGAATTAATTCTTGAACATTATGAGGTGATAATAATAAATGTTCTTGATGGAAGAACATCTATATAAACGATGATTTTGATCCCTGAGCTCAACATCTCTTTGAAGTCTTAAGGATTTCCTACATCATCTAAAGCGAGAGTTTTGAGCCGAGAAATACCAAACTATCAAGTCGGCCATTGTCACATTGTGCTTTGCACAATCTGAATTTGTACTGTAATATGTAAATTTTAATATATATTTTTAACTACCTCCACAAGTTTAACTGAAAGGTATAGCAATTTATATAAACTTAAATAGCTAAGGCTAAGATTTTGTTTAAACTTAAATAGCTAAGGCTAAGATTTTGTTTAATGGTGCTTTCATATTGATGCTGTGGCTTTCACTTTTGTTCTTGTTCAGTTATTTTGGAGTTTGCTGAAGGAAATAATGTTCTTTGTTTGGTCTTTTTTGGAATAAATGGTGCCTTCAGGCATAGGTGTCAATCTTTAAATTTGAAATTAAAATAGAAGTTACTACCTTAGATCGACTTTTTGCATCTTTTAGTTTAGCTATAAATTAGCTATGGTAAATGTTGGTGAACTCGCACACCGTGGCCGAGGAGTCAGCACGGCTTGGTTCACTAGCCGATGTCCAGAATCGTCGAGGCTCGGGAACACGTCCTTCTGTTGGTCGGGTTGGACCTGAAGTCGGGTTGAGCTTGATGTCGAGCTAACATGCTTTCGCCAAGGGTTTGAGCTGGCTCCAGAGTCGTCGTGCCCCTGCACAGGCCCGGGTCGGGGAGTTCCTGACTTCGGCCCCTCGTAGATTAAGTGAGTGGTCCGGTGATTTGCCTCTCAAAAGTTATCCTTTGGCCAAATGCTGGCCAAGGGCTTTTATATTAGTGCTCGAGGTTCGGCCGTATGCAGGTTTCGCGTGGCGGTAGACTCACCGAGCGGCGGGTTCGTACGTGCATTCGGCCGCCGCCCCGGTATGTGCGGAACGACGCCTTACGGTGTCGTCCCGAGCTTTCCGGAGCGTGATTTGTTGAGAGGACGCCTCCTTGCGCGTGCTTTTGTCGACGTGGGAGGAATGTGGTCTTCGTGCTGATTCTACAAAGATGTGTCCGACGTGGCGCTCAACCCTCATCCCAAGGCGCCACGTTTGTGCCTTACTGGCGGTGGATTTGTCCTGTGGCCGAGAGCCAGAATACGCCCTATCAAAAGACTGGACCTGATGGCCGAACTATTGAACTCGGGCACAGGTTGGACTGATGGGCCGAGTGGTTGCTCGACTAGCCGAGCTGCACGACTCGGGCAAAGACTGGACCTGATGGCCGAGCTATTGAACTCGGGTGAAGGTTGGACTGATGGGCCGAGTGGCTGCTCGACTAGCCGAGCTGCACGACTCGGGCAAAGACTGGACCTGATGGCCGAGCTATTGAACTCGGGTGAAGGTTGGACTGATAGGCCAACTGGCTGCTCGATTGGTCGAGTTGCACGACTTAAGCAAAGACTGGACCTGATAGTTGAGCTATTGAACTCGGGCATAGGTGGGACTAATTGGCTGAGTGGCTGCTCGACTGGCTGAGCTACACGACTCGAGCAAAGACTGGACCTGATGGCCAAGCTATTGAACTCGGGAGCAAGTGGGACTGATTGGCCGAGCTGCACGACCCGGGCAAAGACTGGACCTAATGGCTGAGCTATTTAACTCGGGTACAGGTGGGACTGATTGGTCGAGTGGCTGCTCAACTGGCCGAGTTGCACGACTCAGGCAAAGACTGAACTTGATGGTCGAGCTATTGAACTCAGGCACAGGTTACACTGATTGGCCGAGTGGCTGCTCGACTGGCCGAGCTGCACGACTCGGGCAAAGATTGGACCTGATGGCCGAGCTATTGAACTCGGGCGCAGGTTGGACTGATTGGCCGAGTGGCTGCTTGATTGGTCGAGCTGCACGACTCGGGCAAAGACTGGACCTGATGGCCGAGTTATTGAACTCGGACGCAAGTTGGACTGATGGGCCGAGTGGCTGCTCGACCGGCCGAGCTGCACAACTCGGGCAAAGACTGGACCTGATGGCCAAGCTAGTGAACTCGGGCGTAGGTTGGACTGATGGGCCAAGTGGCTGCTCGACTGGCCGAGCTGCACGACTCGGGCAAAAGATTGGACCTGATGGCCGAGCCATTAAACTCGGGCGCAAGTTGGATTGATTGGCCGAGCGGCTGCTCGACTAGTGCCACGTGGCTGAGATCGTCGGCACGTGAGTTCTTGCGGGAAACTTTAGGGGTCGTGTGGGTTCCGGCGGGAAGTTTTTTGTGACGCGTGAGTTTTTGGCAAGAATTTGTAGTCGGTAAATCTGGGGAGATCCAGGGAGTTATGCCAGGCTTAAATGCTGCAACCATATTTTTCCTTGGGGAGCCCAAACATCACCTCCAAGCGCCAACGTTCCCGCGAGGAAGACAAAATCTCCCTCAAACGTTCCACGTTCTCAGTCTCCTCGTGAGAGAGAAAAGGAGGAACGTTATTGATGGCTCGGGAGCTCCATCTGATGTCGAACCCCCACCCCCAGCTACGACACAAAAAAAATATGGTTAGGCTCCCCGAGGAAAAAGGGAAGGCCCCGTCGCTACGAGGTGATGTTTGGGCTACCCGAGAAAAAAGATGGTTGCAACATTTAAGCTCGGCATAACTCCCCGGATCTCCCCAGATTTGCTGACTACAAATTCCCCAAATTTTCCACATAGAGAGAGAAGGTCACTTGTATCAGCATTTACAAAGCTTTAGTTTTCTCATCATCAATAATTCAATACGATGGTAGACCCTGTATACGGAAAGCTGCTACCAAAGACTTTACATGCTTGTGTCAAAGGAAAACTCAACAGAGGTAATTCTTGTAACCAGGGATCTTTTGGATAGCACATGCTTCAAATTATCTATGAAGGTTATCCAATAGGTAATGCCACCAAAATTCATGGGGCATGAGATGAGGGCATCATAGAGTATGATAATCATCGATTCAACTTGATGACATTGACCCAACCTAATTCATTTTTTGAGTCGCATCTGGAAGAGGAAAGATCGTTGAGTATTTTGAACTTGGAAAATGGAAGAATTTTTTCGACAAAGGAAAACTCTCGTATCTTATCCCTTGTCTCACTTCAGTTGGAAGGCAATAGATGGTCGTACCATATATCTCACTTCATGCAAAAACTGCATGCAAAAAGACAACAGTAAGAGTTTATCTAGCAAAACCCCTTTATTGGTCAAGTTAATTTATGTTGGAAGGCATTAAAAACCTATGAGTATCCGTCTAGTAAGTTCTCAATAAAAACAAGCCATAGAAGGTCATCATTCTTGTAATCGTTAGTTTAATGAGGAATTCAATGTGTCAAGTCTTGATTGACCAAAAAAATTGGTCATATCATTTATCCCCCTTATGCGTTACCGCAAGGGCTTCAAATTTTTTTATCCTAGGCGGAAATATCATGTCTAAATGGAATGTTTTTAGATGTGTAAGACGCTTTAGATGATTTTTTGTCCAAGGTGGTTGACACGTCGTGTGCAAATGGAATGCTTTCAGATGTGTCGAAAGCTTTAAAATATGCTTTTTGTCCCAAATGGATGCATCATATGCAAATGGAATGCTTTCGGATGCTTTTGTATTAGGCAAACAGACTACGTCTAAATGGGATGCTTTAAAATGCCTTAAAATCTTTATATGTTGTTTTTCTTGGGTGGATGCATCACACGTAAGGATTTGGTCCGATGTCATAAGTATAAAAGTGTCTTATTTATATTTATATTGTCTCTTTAACACAAATAATGTAATGTGTTGGTAAGGAGCCTCATGCCTAATAAAAAAAGTGAAGTGTTCAATCCTTGAGGAGGTAATACAAGCCTTTTTCCTTCTTTAAGGAAATGGGACATTGGACCATTGGACCAGCCAACCTGGTTGCACATTGGTCCAACCTAGTCAAGCTCAGTCCATGTGGAGTTGGTCGGGCTAAAGTAACCTGACTTGAGCTTGTCGAATGATTTTGCATGACATATGGCCTGGTTCAAAATATTTTAATATTTTAATGTGCCTTTATGTTTTTGATTCCTTGACTCCCCAGAGTGGCCATCCTTTTCGGACAAAAGAGTCGAGTGATACTCTGACTTCTCTTCCTCCTTTGGCAATGTCCAGGTGGTTGACCCAAATGCTAATATGACTCTCGGCAATAAAGGTTCTTTGTTCTCCATGAGGTCTCGACATATTGGAATATCCCCGGATTGCTAATCTTAGACAGGTCAGTGATGTTTCTTCATTCTTAAATGTACTCCCTTTTGTGTGTTTATTTTGATGCCTTCGAGACTGGCCTCCAATTCCCTCTTCACCTCTTTTATCTCGGAGTGCTTTCATCATTTGAGGATTTCTAATACAAAATCATGCCTAACTCTTGGCACTACCTTATAGCCTTTATCGAGAAATGCTTTAAGATGTATCCGAGGGTTAATATTTCAACAGCCAAAGAGGGTTTTAGGGCAAGCGAGATTTAGATTTTAATTTTAAATGTGGTTTGACAGCTTATCCGAAACCCAAAGCCTTTCTAACCACTATGGAGAGTGCACAAGGACCGACTTGTCAGATTCCCATTATCATCTTCTATCAATTATCCAAGTTTCTGAATGCTAATAGTGATATTTCAATTCCCAGCTTCTTACAGAAGTTCCGAAGGGCTATTTGCAGCAGAGACCGTGAAGATGCAGCGTTCCAACATCCTAGATGTTTCATGTAGAGTGCAATGATGGCACCTTCAAACCCATTATCTGAACTTGATCTGGACCTGACTCGAACCCAATGCAGGTCCAAAGTCCAATCACAATAGTTATTCCATCTAGTTTTGTTACATGAAACTAGACGCTGACTCGATTTAGTTTCTTTATGTAAACTTTAAAAAATATAAATATTTGTAATGGCATTTGTTACCATGCCATTACATTTCAGACAATATTTATAGTGGAATCTAATCCTGAACCAAAAGGGAATATACCACCTGATTGTGTGTATGTATGTTTTAATAACAAGTACTTTATGTACATGTTAAAAGAAAAAAGAAAGGGGTTTCTGCAAATTACTGATATATAGCTGCAAAAGTCACATATTGTTAGAGTACTTGAAAAAGAAAAGCGCCACTGAACAAATAAAATTTCCATTTGTGAATTTGAATCTCACGGAAAAAATCACATATACATTTGGGGAGAATAAATTTTCTAACCTGATATCAGGTCCACCTATTTCTCATGAAAGCCAAAGGCCATAAATTTATGGATTTATAACCAAAGGGTTATAAATTACAATTGGGGAGGAACTAGTGGCCACTGCAGTAAATCCTCTGCTGCAAAGGCCATGCTGGGTCTCAACCCCAGAAAGATATCTTCAGCTTACTAATTTTTCCTTGTTGGTAGTATGGTATACAGTGGAATTTACAGTAACTGTCCTTGTCTGTTATTAGGCCAAAATCTCCTGAATAAAATACCAATCATCTGGATAGTTGTAGATGAAAGCACGAAGCATCGTGACATGGCAATATCCCTTCCTACAACTTTGGATATAAGCTTCATTGCAGATTGGTGGTCATTGCAGATTCTTAGGCTCTTCATAATCCTTAAAAGTTTGTGTTCTCAGGAGTACTGATCAACCAAAAAGCAACAAGTCCGTAGCCATGACTACTGAGAAATTGCTCTTTCAGATCCTCGTCATGGCCAAAACCTGCTTTTTTATCTTCCAGAGCTTTAAAGCCATCTGAAATGTTGCATCTCTCTGTGGGTGCAATCAATTGTCCAACCCAAATACATAAATCTTATTCATTGTTTATCCAGCTAAATCCTTGCTCCTTTTTCACTCCTTTATCCTTCATTAGCTTCCAAATCTTAGCAGCATCATCCCATCTTCCACATGCAGAATATACACTAGCAAGCACAGAATAAGCACCACTGTTATCAGGATCAATAGCCAGTAATTTTTCTGCTGCAATCTTCGCCATGTTAGCATCTTTATGAACTTTACAAGCAGACAGAAGTGCCCCCCATGCTATAGCATCTGCTTCCATTGGCATCATGTTTATAAACTCTTGGGCTTCCTGAAGTAAACCAGCACGTGCAAGCATATCAATCATGCATGTATGATGGCTCTGTGTGGGTTGGATCATATGTTTCGTCTGCATCTGTCGAAAATAATGTTTCCCTTTTGCTACCAGTCCTGCATGTGTACAAGCTGAAATAACACCAACATATGTTATATCGTCAGGTCTCACACCTATGTTGATCATCTTTTCAAACAAGCCTATAGCTTCTTCTCCTAGTCCATGTTGAGCCAAAGCTATGATCATTGAAGTCCATAAAAAAGTTTCCTTACTCTGACAAATCTGATTGAACACTCTCTTTGCTCCTGCGATGCTTCCAGATCTAGCATACATGGTAATAAGGGAATTGCTTACAGAAACTGACAGCCCCTCTGATCTGATAGCTTTACAATGAATCTGCTTGCCTTGATCCAAGGATGTCCAGCTGGAACAAGCCTTCAGCATTGCGGCCAGAGTGTAACTGTTCGGCTTAGGACCTTTGTCAATCATCAACCTAAAAAGTTCCATAGCTTCACTATTTAAACCATTTTGCACGTACCCCACAATCATAGCTGTCCAAGCAATAACATCATGATACTTCATTGAGTCAAAGATTTCTCTAGCTGGTTGCAAGTCTCCAAGCTTAACATAACCCTCAAGGAGTGAAGTAAAGGCTATTACATTGAGATCAGAAACCATGGTTTGTTTGAAGACCCTTCGAGCCATTTCAACCCCACCGGACTTGGAGTACATTGAGATCAAAGCATTCCTAACCTGCCCATGACATGGAACTGCAGTTCTTAAGATGTGCGAATGAATCTGCTTTCCCAGTTCCAGTTTCCCAAGGTAAGCACAAGCAGCTAGAGCACTGGTTAACGTGAAATTATCAGGGACTGCAGATTGATCATTAAGCATCCTCGAGAACAACTCCAGTGCCTCCTTATTCAAGTTATTCTGATTGTACCCTGCAATGATTGCACTCCAAGAAACAATATTATGGTCAGTCATTTCCTCAAATTTTTCCCGAGCAAGATCCATCCTTCCAGACTGAGAAAACAAGGAAATCATAGAATTCCAACTCGATACACTCCTCAGTGTCATCCCATTGAAAACAGCCTTTGCGGTATCTACATCACCGGACTTTCCATACATGTTGATAAGGGAATTGGCGATAGAAACAACACCACCAAGCCCGAGCTTAACCACAAAAGAATGCACCTCCTTACCGAAATCCAACGCCTCAAGGGCCGCACATGAAGAAAGCACATTGGTTAATATGAACCGTGATGGCGGAGCCCTGATCCGAATCATGTCAGAAAACATGCAAACCGCCCGTTCAAATTGACCCATTAGATTCAGTCCAACAATCATTGTGGTCCAAGAAACCGAGTCCTTTTGGGGCATTTTATCGAACATATTGTTCGCCATGCGAATCATTCGATGTTTTGCATACATAGACAAGACCGTATTCCACGAGAATGCGTCCTTGATGGGCATCTCATCGAAAACATGGTGGGCATCTTCGAAAATCCCAAACTTGGCGTAAAGGCATATGAGATTGTTGGCAAGGTAGATACCAAGTTGGAGCCCGGCTTTGATGACATGGGCGTGGATGGATCTCCCCACGGAGAGGTTCTCCGTCCGTAGGCACGTCTGAAGGGCAGAAGCATAGAAGTCAGCAGGCGATGGCTGGGAAGGGATCGATTGAAGCAGATTGAGAGACATTTGGGCTGAGAAGCACATGAAGAGAAGAAGCGCGAGATCACATATGAGCGCGGCTTCAGTCCTTACGAATATATATAT